AGCCAGATTCGCCAGTAATTCAATCGCATAGCCAGCACAGCAGAACATCTCTGTCGTGCTGTCGTTATTTCTTCTAGGACATGCGAACCATGGCCCTTCCTTAAAAATCCAAAATCAATACAATTGTCGTATCAAATGGAACACTTTTCAAAGTGAGTTTGCCTTTCAATGTACTTCTCACTGTTTTCCAATGCACTTCAATTGAATTTCTCTCCTTCACATTATTATTGTTGATATGAAAGCATCTGTGTAAGGTTTCGTTAAATATTTTGATGAATTTATTCCTTGAGAGTACGTTTTCACTTGATCCATGTTTATTTTCACAATACAGCTAGTTCTAACAATACCTTAGTCCTTTTAGCTATTATTTGATGTCAGAGCAGTAGATCAGATGCTATTCTCATATCTGTACTAACTCATGGAATTTCCTGAACCGAACTGATCTTCTTGTTTCCTAAATCAATCCGGAAATTGACGAGAAATTATGTGACGGGAATCGTAAAGATATCTACTTTCTGGAGAGATGGGATGATCCAGGAACGATAGCAGTAGCACTAACTACGTTAATACCATCAACAATGAAGCTTTGCATTTGATAGCATCTTGCCGAATCCACTGTTGGGACGGTGTAAACGAATGGCTGGTCGGATACGGTAACGGCACGGAGATGCTTTGGCAGTGTTATCTCAAGTGGCTTCGTTCGTGTGCCACCCAACCACACTATTTTCGTCTCGTTGATTTCGATGCGTTGTTGAGTGCCACTCTGAAGTGTGCCACACAGAAGTCAATTCAAACAATTCCATCAGATTGCATTGACTCAATAAAAAATTTATATTCTATCTTGAACTTGAACATAACCGTGAGAAGTTTGAGTTTGAGTCACAAATCACGATTTAGAATTTCACTGATGCAGGCATCTCCTCAAATACTCACCATATGACCGATCACCTGTAGTCTACCATCAATCGAATTCGTGATATCGTAATCAGTTTTGATACGATCACCCTTATCGTTGAACTGAATTGGCGTATCATCGAAAACTGTGTTTGTTATTAAATGCCTGAAATCTGCGCAAATTCCTTTCGGAACATATCGACACGAATTCAAAAACGAATCACCGAACTGTAACGTTATTTCGACAATGCAAACTCAGTGATTGAATAATATGTATGCAGCAAATGAAAGGAAATTTTTCTTGGACAAAGTTGGTGCATGACAAGAGTGAATGACCCAGAAACACGGTCACTAACCGGTAAAGTTTATTGCCCAATGTATTTGTCCACTCACTATTCACCATATTACCGGAGCACTGTTTCGGTGGGTCTATATCGTAATCGGTGAGCATACCGATACCATTACGTATTATCATCATTGCATCACGCAATGCCGATAGAGCATTTTGACGTAGTCGCACTGAGAGGCAACCTGAAATTAATTACAGTTCCACTAATTTGCTAACCTGAAATAATGACAGCTCCAAGAGAGCAGTTAAGGTGATGCTGAAGCCGACAAAGAAGTGGCGTTGAAGTAACCTGTTGGTAAGTGACTAGCCAGGGATGCTTGTTCGCTGAGTATGCACACTTTACCAGACATTGAGAAAATCGGCACGTTCTGGATGATCATCTCAGCATGATCAGTACTAAAACTTGGAATTATGAGCTTGCAAATTAACAACTGATTTGCGAATGAATGAATATGATGAGAACGAATAGTGAATATTGAAAGAGAATGAAAAGAGCTACGAGAAAACGAACTCAGCAAAGAGAATGATTATGTTCGATGTAACTTCCTCAAAATTTTCCTCCACTGACTCGTTCAGCTGTGCCGTTAGATCGAGTTCAATGTACCTTTGCACCTAAAATAACGGAATTCGAGTTGCATTTACACTTATAACACCATTACATTGCAGTGCGCATCAAACCTCGAAGACATCCATGGAAACACAACTATAGACCGTTTTACACTGTAAGGCGATGAAATGCACCATATTAAAAATAACACTGTACTCGGATATGCCCGTTAACATAGCAACTTCCTCACATCACTAGATTTATCAGATTCTCTATTTTCAGAAATGTGCATATGTTGTCGGGGAATTTTGCTTACTTGAACAGATGTACCTGTTTATCCGAACCTACTTCAAGTAACCCGACAGCGCTCGTTTCAAAGCAAAACATCAACATCGATCAATGTGTATATCACCATAAGGATGACCATCTTCAAGAAAACCGTACCCTAAGGTTTGCCCAGTAACATATGCGTTTCCTTGCAACATTCCATTGTTCAGAAACTTTACATTCAGAATATCATATATTTTGTCGAGCAAATATGATTAGTTGAGGAGATATAACTATGTTCTCAATGCTACAGGGGTTACCATCTTCAAGCCTTGTGCGGCATGACATGAATTTCTGTAAACCATTCGATCCAGCCAAATCTCCTCATTCCGAAAAACATATATGTTGCTGAGCGATTTTGCTTTCCTGAGGAGATATAGCCATTTTCTTATATCTATCTCAATTAAATAGCGCAGTCGCGCTCATTCATACAAATTGATCACTATAGAGCTATCAATACGTTCACATAGCAATAGGCAGATTGCGATCTTCGAGCTAACCGTCTTCTCAGGTTTGCCCGGAAACATGTGAATTTCTT